TATTCAAGTGGGAGGCAAGTGCGGTCTGGTGCGGCGGTGCTTTTCGCGGTTGACACACTACCTCTGGCTGGGGACTCGGACACAAGGCAGGTCTTAGACGACCCATTTGAACCGCGCCTTGACTGGTCTTACTCTTCGGTCCAACGATTAACTCTCAATTTCCTACCATGAGACTCTTCTTGTTTCTCAACTACAATTTTTTCCTCTAAACCTCTTCTAACCCTCTGCTTTGTTCTTTCACATTGGAACTCGTTTTTTCAATTAAATCAACTCTTTTTAAATCTTTTTTGCTGTCATTATTGTATTTGCCGTTTTAGAACACACACACACACACACACACACACACACACACACACACACATATTTATATGTAATTATAAAGAAAAAAATATACAGAAACATTTTCGTGAAGCGATAACTCCCACTTTGATACAAATGAATCGATCTGGGATTCAACAACCAGCACAGGAATTTCGAGTTGCAATTCCAAATAATTCACAGTCATTACACATTACTTACAGCTGTTAAGTATTAAATGTCTCGCTACGGACAGGATTCTAACCTCCTTGTTATACAGTATTTGTGTATTATTGCTTTATATAATCATCAAAAGCATAAATATCGTTATTGTTATCGTTGTCATTGGTCTCGTCCTCGTTGACAGCATCATCATCTTTGTCATCATCAAATCATAACGTAATTAAAACTATGCTAATTTTTCTTGTCATCAATCTAATAATACCAAAAGTTGGTGTAATGTACGGCTGAGCTACTGTTAATACAAGCTAAATTTATGGGGAAATTTAATGGATGATAACTCACGGTCGGTGAAAAGTATGTAGTATCTTGTGGATAAAAAAAGAAAAAAAAAGAATGACATTTTCATTGGGAATCTTTAATACGGCATGTACTTCAAAGCCGTATCTGTACCACACACACACACACACACACACATACACATTTATATGTGTATGTATGTATATTATAAGTATGTTATTTATTTATTTATTTATTACTTAATAATGAAAGTCATTTACAAACAATATGTAAGGCATAATTAGTTCATCCTTCAGAATGTACGTTTGGAAATATAAGAAACAAATTATTAAAAAATATTAATAAATGTATTCGAAGCACAAACAGCAGGCCTCATTTACTTGTATATTTAGTTGCATATGGTTCCTCTCATTTTTTTCCTGACAGTGTGAAAGGTTCGTTATAGATTCGCTTAAATAATTTCTTGTAATTCACCGCAATTGATGTTTTTAATTATTGGTGTTTGTATTGTGTTTTAGTTTCTTCTCTTATCTTACTTTTCTTTTTTCGCTTTCTTCACTCACTCACTTCACTCACTCACTCACTCACTCACAACTCACTCACTCACTCACTCACTCACTCACTCTCTCTCTCTCTCTCTCTCTCTCTCTCTCTCTCTCTCTCTCTCTCTCTCTCTCTCTCTCTCTCTCTCTCTCTCTCTCTCTCTCTCTCTCTCTCAGCATTATTCCCATGCTTTCTAGACATAAACACACGTTAATTTTTAAATGCATTTGTATTCATTATTAACCATCGAAACCTATGTATAAACACCTTTCGGGGAAGTAATCTGGTGTAACAAGTAAATACGCCCTAAATGTATAATGCCATAGGTAATATCTAACAAAGATATGATTTTCGTTATATTTTTCCTTTCGCAAGCTATTGTATAATGCAGTCAGTTCCTTAGACCTTGGAAAACTCGATTCATATCAAGTCAGGAACGTCTAATCTCGCTATCAGACCGAGATTCCTTTCATTTCATTCCTATGTTTTCCATAATCACAAGCTAAAGGAATTGATAATGAATATTGTTAACAACATGAATTATTACACGTTTGTCAGATGCGTCAACGTTCTCTAGCTTTACTGCAAGAATTGATGAGTTTCCCCTTTAATATCTTGCCGTCTAGTTTTCTTTTGACGATTCGGCAAATAATAATTAATAATTTAGTTTTAATTCCATGGGTTACAGTGGCTATTTTTACTGGACTATGTTGTCTGTTTATTTGCTTCTAAATGAGTCCCTGTGTGCAAAGAATGGCCGTGCGCGGGGGTCGAACGTCCGGGGGGGGGGGGGTCGAACGTAGGCCAGAAAGATTGTACAAGAACACTACCGCTGCACTACCCAGTTAAAAACTTGATTGTGATTATTATGAGTGGATTACAGAATGCATTACAAGATATAGATTCAGGAGTAGACGAAGTAATTTCAAGTTTTTTACGTGAGCAATATATGGTGATGGAATAATCATGACGCGAATTATTCATCGGAATCAAAAGTTATTTTTTTATCATATTCATACTTATACGAACGTTTCCTCTCATTGATGATGAGACTTTCATTTCAAAGATTAAGAATTATTGGTAAATTTACTCAAGGCTTTAATATAACAGGAAATGCACTCCTTTAAAATTATCCATTTTTTATATGATGTTAATCTGTCGTGTAGACTTTAGTGAATTA